TGGATTAGAAAAATTAATATTGCTATAATGTCCATGCTACCCAGAGCAATCTACAGATTCAATAAAATCCCTATCAAAATGCCAATGGCATATTTCACAGAATCAGAACAAATAATTCTAAAATTGTATGGAACTACAAAAGACTCCAAATAGTCAAAGCAATCTTGAGAAAGAAGAACAAAGCTGATATTATTACACTCCCCGACTTCCAACTACACTACAAAGCTATTGTAATCAAAACAATATGGTACTGGAACAAAAGCAGACACACAGATCAATGGAACAGAATGGAGATCCAGGAATAAACCCTACGTCTATGGACAATTAAATTATGACAAAGGAGCGAAAAAGATACCATAGAGAAATGACAGTTTTTTCAATAAATGGTGTTGGAAAAACTGGACAGCCATATGCAAACGTATGAAACTAGATCACTATCTTACACCACACACAAAAATTAACTCAAAATGGATTAAACACTTGAATGTGAGAGCTGAAACCATAAAATTCCTAGAATAAAACATAGCTGGTAACCTCACTGACATCCATCTGAGCTATGTTTTTGTGGATCTGACTCCAAAGGCAAGGGAAACAAAAGCAAAAATAAACAAATGAGACTACATCAGACAAAAAAAGTTGCACAGCAAAGAAAACCATTAGCAAAATGAAAAGGCAACCTATTGAGTGGGAGAAGATATTAGCAAGTCACATATCCAATAAAGCATAAATAGAAAAAAATATAAAAAATATCAAAATATGTAAAGAACTCATACAACTCAACAACAGAAACCCAATTTAAAAATGGGAACAGGATGTGGAGAGACATTTTCCAAAGAAGACAGAGATGGCCAAGAGATACATGAAAGCAACATCATTAATTATTAGGAAAATGCAAATCCAAACCCCAATAAGTTATCACCTCATACCTGTTAGAGAAGCTATAACCAAAGACAAAAAATAATAAATGCTGGAGAGGATGTGGAGGCAAGGGAACCCTAGTACACTGCTGGTGGGAATGTAACTTGGTGCAGCCACTCTGGAAAGCAGTATGGAGATTCCTCAAAAAATTAAGACTAGAACTACCATATGACCCAGCTATTCCACTTCTGAGTATCTTAAGAACACAAAAACACTAATTCAAAACGATCCATGCACCCCAATTTTCACGGCAGCATTATTTACAATAGCCAAGATATGGAAACAACCTAATTGTCCATTGATGGGTGAATGGATAAAGAAGATGGTTTCACTCATATGTGAAATCTTAAAAAACAAAACAAACAAAGTGAAGCAAAAACAAACAGAGGGGAAGGAGATACAAAGATGGGCGAAATGGATCAAGGGGGTCACTGTGTGGTGATGGATGGTAACCAGACTTGGCATGGTGATCACTTTGTAGCGTATAGAGATGTCGAATTACAATGCTGTACACCTGAAATTTACATAACAAAAAAGAGGTAGCAAGGATATAAATTTGGAGCGGGCAGGAGAAAACAGACACACACACACACTGAACTTTCTTAGAGTTACTGTACTATTTCTAAGGAAATAAAAACACAGAATAAAACAGACAGAAGTCTTTGGTTTTTCATTATCTTTTTGGCATTTAGCAGCCTACCTCATATTCTCCTATTCCACAACAACTGATTTAACCAAATCTACGCAGCTTTGAGGTTCATGAGATTATGAAATGCTATATGAAAATGATCAATAAGTCCTCTACAAAACAGTAAAAGAATTTTGGTAAAGATTTAACAGCTGCTCTATTTGAAGAAATCTAGCTAGATACCATATCCATTTCAGTTCCTATTAATCATCAACAGAGATCCTTAAGCAGTAACCAGAATTTTATTCTGTAAATACTAAGTTTAATACCATTAAGTCACATATTACAAGGAAAAAAGATGAGCATTGTGTATGCAGTATGGCTAAACGTGCCAAGGCTAATTAAAGCCTTGGTTAAAGGAAAGATACTAAGTGTTTTTAATTAAACTGGGGGGCGGGAGGTTGAAAAAAGAAAAACATGACAAAAACCACATCTGATTTCTCTCCTATTTCATGCCAGCAAGGATTCTCTGCTTCTAGGTCTATCCTTCTGGCTCATGCAAATGGCCTTGCAGACTTCTAATAAAGACTTTCTGATCTGCCTAGTGTTCAACCGAAACCAATTCTCAGTGTCTTCCAGAGTTAGTAAATTACAGTTTCATACTCTACTCGCAGAAGTAAGATTCCACAAACCACTTCATTCAGTCAGATCCATGACTAAATCATAGAGCTGAAGAAAATCTCCAGTCATCCAGTCTAGTTCTTTGTTCTTGGAAAGCAGTCTACCTAACTTTGAAACAAAAACAATTTGTCCTGGATTTTATGAAGTCAAATTTAATTTGGACTACAGTGTAAATGGGATGGGGGGTGGGGAAATGTATTTGCATCTAAATTTTTTATCAGACTCATAATAAACCAAAGAATTTGGAAAAATAATTCATACCTTAACCAAAACTAGGTAAACATGGAAAATGACTCAACTGCCATCAATAAGAAAAAACACATAAAAAGATTTTGAAAATTTCAAAAAGAGTTGATAATTAAATGACTCAGGCTTCTGAAAAACATTTAACTCCTGGTGACAAGAAGATATTTTTTTTGTGGGGGGCGGGCAGAATGTTCAGTATGTTAAGAGATAATCAACAACATAGTTTTTTAGTATTCTTTCCTTGTTTGCTTCCTTCCAAAAGCATTTTCCCCTCCTTTCTTCATTTATTTCCTTTTTCAGAGTATGCAAAATCCAGACCCTGCTTTGTTCTCTCCAAAATAATTCTTTTTCATACAACTTGAGTTTCACTAAAGCTTAGCTACAAATAATGGGGATGGAGAAGGGATAAATAACAGATTTTAATTGCTTTATCTTCTGACCTCTGCGATAGAACAGTATCACTCCCTAATCAAATCATGGGCTTTTCTGATTCTGACAACTTTCAAAAAAAAAACAAAACAAAGGCTGCAGTCAAGAAGGATTAATGTAAAGTTATAAAATACAAAATGTAGACTAAAACATCATATAAACAGTGAACATCCAACTAAAGGAGTTAAATATTTGACAATCTTCTTTCTCCTTTTCTAATTAAATATTTTTAAGAATTATTATATAGTGTAAAAATTAAGAAAGCTATAACTGTATATCATTTTGAGCATTCCCACGTGACATGGGGCCTAACATTAGTAAAGGGTGAACTGTTTCTGGAAAGAAAAAAAAAATGTGCTAAATACTTCAGCAGCTTCCTACCCATTAATAATCACTCAGCAACACAATGATCAAAAGTTTAGCACACTACGTCCACAGGACTGGATATTATGACTTGATTCCTAAAACACCCCCAAAGACTCTAAAATAAAAGGTCCCTCTTTGGTCATTTCCTTTATGAAATAAGAGTCAACTCAGTTTTGCTCAAGAACCGGTGGGCCCATGTAGGTATCATCTCATGTCTCCTTGATTTTTTTTCCCCTCCTACTTTCCAACATTTGCCTTATTCACTATTATTTAACACTCCCACCAGAAGACAAGTGAGATATAAGAAAAGGTGCAATTCAAACCAGTCAGTTTTACTCCTTATTAGCAACTCTGCTGAGAAAGAATGAAAGTGAGAAAAAAGAGAATAAAAAGTTAGCTGAGCTCAGAACCTGAAACTAATGTCTAAAAAGAAGCTTTAAAATTACAGGTTGACTTTAATAAATTATGCCCTGCCTCTGGAAAATAAGGACCTGACTGTAAAACTTGTGTTCGTATCATATGCATGTATGTCTTGAACAATTTAAAAGAATACCGGGCAAAGGGAACTATATTCAGTATCTTGCAGGGACTATGGTGAAAAACAATATGAAAATGAATATATGTATGTTCATGTCTGATGAAGCATTATGCTGTACACCAGAAATTGACACAATATTGTAAACTGACTATACTTCAATAAATATATGTATGCACAAGAAAAAAAAAGAATATCAGAACATCTTAGCCCTCAGTGTCATTAGCAGAGGCATTTGCACCCTCCTGTACAGACCTGAGAATCAGTTAAAGACAGCTGTCCCTTGCTTGCATGTATCTCTGGGTATTAGCTTTGTGGACCTTTGATCATATAGCTGCCTGTGATGAAGGCACTGAATTTATTTCTATCCTCATTTCCTTCCTCCCTTTGACAATCATCTCATACCTCCAAACCAATAAAACCTCGTCAGCTTAGATGGTACCCTCCACACCAATAACCACATGATTATACATCGGAAACCGGTGTCTCAACATGGCACTCCATCTTGTTTTGTAGGAATCAGAGCTTACAATTCCAATTTCTAGGCACTCTGTAAAAAAAACGAGGCCATCTGGCAATACTGAGACAAGGTGGCCACATGACCATGAGTTGGAAAAAGGCAGCGTGGACAGGGAGTGAGGACTTCCATTTATCAGACTCCCACCGCAGCCCAGTTCACTCTGCCTCGCCCCCGAAGGTGGTCGACCTGCCACCCCGCCATACGGTGAGACGCCTGCCTGAAGAGCAAGTCGGAGGAACGGGGCAAGTATGTATGGTGCAGGAGCCACAGACCTCAGTGCCACGGGGCCCTGTGCCTTTGAACCCAATGCATTTCACATCGGACTCGACCTGCTCCTCTCTCAAAGATTTGCTTTAATTTTAGTTTCTCTTCCAGTTTGTCTCAGGGTTATGTAACCTCACAGGAGGTCACACAAGTCTCCCAAAAAAGAAATTTAAGCTGTCTTTTCAAAATAAAAAAAAAGCACCATGCATAACAAAGACAAACACAAAACTGAAACTTGTCTTCTTCTCCTGACAAGAAAGCTTTACCCTCCCTGTTAATCTCCAAAATTACAATCTTAAGGGGAAAAGAAATGAAAAACACAAAGGATGGAAGACTGTGGCCTGCCCTGGGGATGCAGGCTATGCCGCGCTCCCAACGCACCATCAAGAAGAAGAATGTAATTAACATCTTACCCTCTTCCAGCTCAAGACAAAGATTATACACGGCCACAGGTCGCTTAGTCCTCTGGCCCTGTCTCTTCGATTGCCTTGGTGGAGCATTTGGGGGCGACACTGACAGGGAGACCGGCTCAGGGAATGTGGCATCAGGCAGGGTCCGAAAAATCTGCCATCAAAACACAAAGGACATTAATTGTTTTCCATGAGCAGAAACCTTGGTAATTCAACAATACACCAGTATCAGACAACATTTGATTTGGAGTTCACCCAAAAGGGACTGGAGCCAAAAACCCGTTCCTTCACATTTGGGGTGTAAGTCATGGGTCTTTTTTTTTTTTTTAACAGGAGATTCCAAAATAAAATTTCTCATTAAAATTAAGTAAAAGCAACATCAAATCATTATCCTTCAAAATAAACCCACACCCAAACCAAACAGGCGTCATCATCTTCGCCAGATGGAGGCAGTATCACGGCTCTTCATCCATAAAGGAAGTAACCAGGATAAAACGCTGAAAACAAATATCCCACTAAATGTCACACAGGGTTGTATTTATGCCAAAACGCTATTCTCAATTTTTCTTTCAGACTTCGTAAACAGAAACATACGACTGCAAACATTTTCTACACGTTTAAAAATAGCCTGTGCTTATGAAATTACCTTTCGGATTCCCACATACATTTCTCATAAAACACTTTGTGGATCTTATCCATTTGTTTAATGGCCGCCAACTTCTCTTGAGCATCTCCCCTCCATTTATGACACCTAGAATGTCAACACCTTGCTCATCTATAGTGTCATTCCTCTATCAGCAATGACAACGTGAATTAAAATGTGCTGCCTCCTTGCTTAGCAATTTTTTTTTCCTTTTGAGAAAAGCCAACTGTGCCACACAGGGAAGGATGTCATACAGAGGTGACTTAGAGTTTCCACGGCTGCCAAGACCTGAGTTCAGAAGCCTCCGCTCCCCAACAACACTGGAGTCCTTTCAACCTTCAATAAAGTCGTTAACAGAAAATATTTGGACAACACCGTAACAGACACTATCTCCGGAGGGCTGGCGTTCTAACAGCGGATGCAGAAAGAGCGCCAGCTAGCATTAAACAAAACTGAAATGTAAAACTCACAATAAAAGGCACCGTGTGAAAGTCCCACTGTTTCAAGGAGATTATCCTTTATGTATTTGAATAAAAACAAGCACGTGACCTGTGTGTATAACTGAGGGTATTGCTTACATACATGTAGCACATTTAATAAGTAGCCAACAGGGGCAGGGTATAGCTCAAGTGGTAGAGTGCATGCTTAGCATGCACAAGGTCCTACGTTCAATCCCCAGCACCTCCTCTAAAAATAAATAAATGAATAAACCTAATTACCTTCCCACTCAAAAAAAAATTAATAACTAACCAACTGGTCAGAATTAGAATCACAGCCTAAAAGTCCTCACGTAGAAACTACCATATACCATAATAAAAATAAACAACTTCAACAGAGCATTTCCTTTCTAGTACCATACTGCCCCCTCATGTGGAAACGGAATTTAAAAATGGTTTACATTACTGCAGACAAATATTTGCTAGTGAAAATTTACTTTAGTGCTCCAGCTGGTAACCTGCTCGTCCCATATTTCCACAGACTCTGGGTTCCAAGAGGGCACTGCAGCAAACAGCAAACGACTTCTCTGCCTTAAAAAATCCTCTGCCGTCTAGACTATCATCCACAGCTGGATTTATCGCCATCTGTCATTGTTCACATTACAGAAGGTTGTGGAGCGGTGGGCACAGGAGAGAAGTCAGGCTGAGAAGAGGAGGACAGTGATGAAAAAAAGAAAAGATGGGAAAATTTAATTCCATGGAAAGAAACCAGCACGTGTGTGTGTGTGACCCACACTGGGAATGGCTCGTAGACTCACTTACGTTTGATCTTTACAAACATAGTACAGGCCTCTGGAACGATACTGGACTAGGAAACTGAACAATATACAGAGTGAGGACACCCAAAGCTTAAACTAACTGTGGAAAAATTATATCCTAAGTACCGGCCCTGGATAGCTGATACCCCTCTGAGCAAAGATCACACAGACTGGACTGATGCAAACGCTGCCAGTCATTCCCCCCAACCCTCCCTCTCCACCAGCACCACCACTCGGGGTGAGGGGGATAAGGGTGTAGGGAGCAGGGTGTGGCAGCAGCCCCCGGCTGCAGAGCCAGACAACCAAGCGCGATGGGAGTCAAGAGTGTGGCTCCTATGTTCCTGGGGGACTGACCAGAGGCACCCCAGAGTTGGGCCTACAGGAGTCCCAGGAAGACCTAGGCCATTGTTCAGTTCACATCAGAGTGCCTAGGAGAGTATTATTCAGCCAGAAGGAAGAAGAAAGTCCTGCTGTTTGCAACAACATGGATGAACCCTGACAGCGCTGTGCTCCATGGACTAAGCCAGACAAAGACAAGACTTCATGATCCCATTTATATGTGGAAGAATAATAAAAAAAAATCATAGAAACAGAACAGACTGGTGGTTGCTAGGGGCGGCTCGGGTAATGGGGGAAGGTGGTCAAAATATACAAACTTCTTCTAGCTGTAAGATAAGTAAGTTCTGGGGATGTAGTGTCCAGCATGGTGACCGTAGTGAACAGTGCTGCATTATATATTTGAAAGCTGCTAAGAGAGTACGTCTTAAAAATCCTCCTCATAAGAAAAATAAATTGTGACTCTGTGAGGGTGATGGATGGTAACTAAACTTATTGTGGCAATCTTTTGCAATATGCACACCTAGCAAACCATTATGTTGGACATCTTAAACTAATACAGTATCATGTGTCAATTACTTCTCAATAAAACTGGGGGAGGGAGGATATCTGGGCATGGGGACTGGGCTTCAGCTTGAAGTTTAAAGCTCCCCGGGTGGTTCTTTTGTGTGCTCAAGGCTGAGAAACCCCGATCTAGTCAGTCATTCCACAGCATTCTGTCTTTGTCTTGGCTGGACCAAAGTATAGATCAAAACACCAGAAAGATTATTTCAGAAAAATGGGGCACTGGACACCATGCAGTCAAATGGAGCTTCCAAAGAGCCCTAATTAGGTATAAAATGCTTCAAAGACTCTAAAGACCAACCATCCCCTTAACACACCCTATGCTGTATTAGCATTTCAAAGAGCTAACCTACCGACCAGATCAGGTGGTTCCAAAGCACAGATGCTGCTTGAGAAGACACTATCCTGGCTTTTGAGTCTTCTCGATGAGGGAGGCTTAGATACAGTAAAAACACTGTATCTCGTTTTCTCATTCAAATGAGGACCATAATATGTACATCTCAAGTTACTCCAACAAGTAAATGAGGCAGTATGTATGCAGTGTTTGGCACAATCCTTAGCACATAATAACCAGAAATAAATGATAGCTACTGCATTTGTAGTATGATCACATCCAGTAAATAATAATAAAAATGGATGCAGACCCCTTATTACTCCACTCAACCACCATTTTGAGAGGTCACTAATTTCTTGGTGGCCTGGAATATTCCTCAGATTTAGTGTTTAGTTAATTGAAAGTGTCTGTGGAAAAGCTCACCAAGCAATGGACTACAGGGATGCAATAAATAGAGCCTCTTATCAAAACTCCCAAGTCACCTAGAACCACCCAATTGTTCTGTGTGTCTACTTCTGCATTTCAGCACTGAAATTTGAGATTTAAATTACTTTCTCTCTCATTGAATACATTTAACATTTCATAAACACCTACTAGGTGGTAGGCTTTCTCTGAAGCACTTCAATACTCTCAAAAACTTTTGAGGTAAGAATTGTTCCCCACATTTTAAAACGATACAAGTGCAAAGACTTAGCCCAAGTCACCACCATTTGAAAATGGTACAGTTTGTACCCTAACCCTCAACTCTGATTCCAAAGCCACTTTAAAAAACAAATAAAATTTGCTTTCTATGTCTGTGGTTCCATTTCTGTTCTGTAAATGAGTTCATTTGTGTCTTTTCTTCAGATTCCACACATAAGCGATATCATGTGGTATTTTTCTTTCTCTTATGGCTACCAGTGGGGGAAGGGATAAATTGGGAGTCTGAGATTTGCAGATATTACTATATATAAAAATAGATAAACAACAAGTTTCTACAGTATATGACAGGGAACTATATTCAATATCTTATACTAATCTATAATGAAAAAGAATACAAAAAGGAATTTAAATATGTATCATATGACTGAAACATTATGCTGGACACCAGAAATTGACACAGCATTGTAAACTGACTATACTTCAATAAAAAAAATTTTAATCCTCAAGGGAAAAAAAATCACCAACTATACTGTTCTGTATCTGTTTAGAAAAAATAAAACTGGAGAATTATCTATACAGACTCACCATCATCGTGCTATATTCTCCTAGATGTTTCAAGAATGCATCACTTTTTTTAAAATGTTTTTTTATTTTCTTTTATTATTGCATTATTTAATTATTTTATTTGGGGGGGAGGTAATTAGATTTATTTATTTTTAGACGAGGTACTGGGGACTGAACCCAGGACCTCACGCATGCTAAGCATGCGCTCTACCACTTGAGCTATACCCTCCCAAGAATGCATCACATTTAAAGTGCATTTTATCTCATCACTGCACTAGCCTCAGTTTTTTTTTTTTAAGCTACAAAGCTATGCTCTCATGGTTCCCTCTGAAACATCAGAAAGACATTCTTTTTTACATTCAGAAGAGGAAGAAACAGTCAATTTTATTTACTTTAACATGTTGTCCTGCTTTTTGGCAATCTGACTTGAGAAGTTAAAATTTAGCTTCTCTTGTTTTGTGTAGCCAAGATGTGCATCCTCTTTAAACCTGACATTGATTGTCCAATTCTAGAGCCATGGCCTGGATGCAAACTCCTCTACCACCCGGGTCTCTTTCCAAAATCGTGTGACTCTCTCAACTCCCCTCCATCCTGTTACCTTTGTTCTGGGGCAGGTAAACTCATCTGAAGCAAAGCAAAAGATGAAGTTTACTCAAAACTTTCTTTTTTTTTTTTTCCGGGTCAAAAATTTCTTCACTGCACCTACGGTGGAAGTGTAACAGAAGGAAAACTCAGAGCAGACGATCCACTGACAAAAAACAAAACTCCACGCGTAGGCGTGTCAGGGAAGGAAGGCTTATTCAGGTCTCTGAAGGG